GGCTGGCCAGCTCTCCTTGCCGGCCAAAGGGACCCTCCACCCCAGCACCGCTGCTGGCCGCTGTGGCAGAGGGGACGTGCAGGAGCGCTCGGCGCTCCCCAGCTCTCCCAAACACTGGGTCTCCCTGTGCTTCGGGCTTCCCCATCTGCAAAGCATCTGCTATAACCTGCTATAAGCCGAGGAGTGCCGGTGCTTCTGGCTTCCCGCTGCCATCAGGCGCAAGCAGATCCATCCAAGAGGGGCAGACTGGCCTCCCCTTGCAATCGGCAGGCACAGGCAGTTGGCTGCATGGGGCAGAGCCGCCGCGGTCCACCTGCGTGCCTGCACGGCCCCGCGCACTGAAGACCCCAGCTTGCCTCCACAACGTTGCCTTTGCGCGACAAGGAGTTCACGCACTAGGGACCTGGTTTCTCCTTCCCTCCATCGCACCTCCCAGCATCGCAGGGAGGGATGAGTCAGTGAAATCCCCCCCTCCACAGCCTTCCTCCCAAATTGAGGGCTGCAAGGCTCCAGCGCTGGGCACAGAGCCAGGTTTGCGGTGGGGCTGAGTGACATAGCCTGGGGGCAAGGAAAACACCAAGCACCATCCTCAAAAGAAACCAACACTATAAACCAACACTACCAGGGCATTTTTGCTGGGGGAGAGCCTTTTGTTTACTTGCACTCACTATCCCATGTCTCACCAGAGCTTCTGGAGAGCTCATACGTGGCTTTTACTCACTGCATTCAAGGGACTCCTTTTACCCTGCAGCACCAAGCTCCTTTCACAACTGCCCTTGCCCCAGCTCCGCTCGGTTCCCTCTGACAGGGAGAGAGGAGGGATGGGAGAAGGGGGCCAGCTCCCTAGGAGGTGCAGCAATGCTCTCCCGCACCTCCTAAACTGCCCTGCCCCATCAGAGGGAGATTTCCATCCATTTCCAGAGGTGCCATTCCCACCCATGCCCTAAGCTACTGGTCAGCTCTGACAGCAGAGCTGTTCCCACATCTCACCCCATTTCCCCACTTTTACCTAGCCTCCAAGCTGGCAGCTAAACCCGAAGAGCTTTGCAGTCACCAAACCACAGCTGGATACCCTAGACCCAGCCCTTACCCCCCCCAAATCACCCTGACTGCCTGCAACTGCCTTCCTGGGCCCTGGGTGGTGAGTAGCATCGGGCTTTCAGAGGGGTAGGCTCAGAGGCTACCTCGCTGCATCCGTTTGAGAAGCAGATGCACAGTGCGAGTGCTGCTGCCAGCACGAGCCGCCTGCGGCACCGCCATCGCCTGTCCTGGGTGAGGAGAGCCGGAGGCAGGCAGAGCACGCACGGCCCAGAGCCGAAGCGGCTGCCAGGAGAGGCCCTGCAAGCCTCTGTCCCATCTGGCATCGCTTCCTGGGCAGGGCTCCCCGGCACCGAGGGACGTCTGTGCACCCAGCACTGCGGCAATGCCAGCTTGCAGCTCCTTACTGCCAACTCTTCACACCTCCTTACTGCCAACTCTTTGCGAGCCCAGACTCGCAGAAGAGGGGTGTGGGGAGACGAAGGAGCACAGGAGGTTCCCAGGCCCGGCTCCCACCAGTACTGGCTCCGAACACTTCCTGATCGAGACGGGCTGGTGCAGAGCAGGAAAACGAGCAGCAAGACACGAGGGCTGAGGCAGCCAACGCGCCTGGGAACCTCAGCCCAACTGGCTGCTCTCCTATCCTCTACTCAACAGGCACATAAAACCCTCCTTTCCTTCTTCCCATCCTCTGCACTTTGACTCCTTCCCCACGTAGCTCAGGGGACATCAGCAGACATGTTCAGCGAAGTCTTCAAGGCGCTGGATGGACTAACATCCTTCGGATAACCAGGACTCACCTTCCTACCGTGGGGCGGGCAATGAGCACCATGCCAAGGTGCTGCTGGGCATTGCTCTCAGCGACTTTTCCCTCTGGGCCTTGATCCCCCCACCCTGCAACTCCAGGCTGCAGCTGGCTGGAGAAGAGAGATGAAGCCGTGTCCTAGAAAAGCTGAAGAGCCAAAGAAGGAGCCATGGTCTGGATACACAAGGGGGTTTTCTCATGCAGCGCCTTCCTCACACCGTGGACCAACGGGAGCAGAGAGGGATTCCCCCGTGTTGTCTCAGAGCTCACTGTACCTGCCTGGGTCGTGTACTAACACACAACTGCGTCCCATGGACACGGCCATAGCTTGTTGCACACTGGTGGATGCTTCCCAGGGTGGGGAGAAAAGCAAAAGAAAGGGAAAACACAGGTTCAACAGATCTCCTTACCTTTCTTCACCTTCTTTTCCTCATCTCCTTCTCCTGCACCCAAGAGAGTGAAGATGATTCCTGTCTGCGAGTTTATACCCACAGCAGTCACCACCATCCGTCCAGACCCCTCCATCACGTGGGTACCTAGCACAACAGGAAGGTCACGGTGAGAGAGGACATCAATATACAGTTCTCAGATCCTTCCAAAAATACAGCATGCTGGCTGCCTCCTGGACTAGGAAACGGGACATGGGACTAGTCACCTCTCCATCACCAGCACAAACCAGACCAGCCCTGCAATGACCACGTGAGACCTCTCGGCATTTTGCAGGAGAGAGCTGAAGAAGGTTTCCTTCCCCAGATGTCTCCCTCCAGGGAAGCTCAGACCTGCCAGACCCAGCAGCGAGTGCCCAGGGAGCAGGGCTTCCTGTGGGACACAAGGCCTGGACAAATGGAGACCCTGGAAATGCACTACTGCAGTTTCCAAGTCCTTCACGGTATTAAAACTGCCTCAGGTCAGGAAGCAACAACAGAGCAACGTGGCTTGCAGTGCCGCAGGCAGGTGGAGACTCTTAAGGCCATCCATCCATCCATCCACCACGAGGATTTGTTCAGGATCCGGACCCCATTCTGACTGATGCAGCAACACAAAGGCCATGCTGCCAGACTTAAGACTTCAAATCAACCCAAAACCTTGTGTTTTTCCACACAGGTGCTGCAGATATGCGTTTGCTTTTCTGGCTGAGAGCCTCACCTGACAGCAGCATGGGGTCTTTATCGAGGGATTTCTTGACTTGGTCTGACTCCCCAGTCAGTGAGCTCTCATCAATTTTCAAGTCATTCCCTTGGATCAGGATGCCATCTGATGGCAAGAGGTCACCTGGAAAAGAGGAAAGAGTCTGAGGATCAGCCCATACCTGGCAAGTCTCAGCTCACCCCTTGCTGCAGTGTCCAGGAGGCTTCCTGCACTGGCAGGAGGACTCAAAATTCATAATCTCTGACTCAATCTAGACAGAGAGGAAACAAAGGCTGGGTATCAAAGGATGACATTTTATAGCTCCAAAATCTTGACTGACACATAAGAGCATTAGTTTTGATGCCCTTTGCTCAGTAAATCAGCCAGTGTTGCTCCATATATGCTTTACTGAATCAGTAACATCCTTCCCAATGCCTCTGGATACATTCAAACTGTTATAGGATCACATCCTCCACCCCAAGAGGTAGGAAAAAACCTACATTAAAATCAACACCAGGTTGGAACAACCTAGTTCCTTAGGGGAGTTTGTATGGAACAAGCATACCGCTGGTAAACAAGGGGAGGGACCTACTTTAGCCCAAAGGCTGCCTTTAGCTGTCAACCTCTTTCAAAGGACACCTTGCTAAAGGGATGCTCGCCAACAAGGACATAGTTATGAAAATGATTCATTTTAAGAGACCAACAGGTTCCCAGAGCAGCCCAAAGCAAATATCTGTGCACAGAGCCCGGCTCAGGACTGCCAGCCCTGCTCCGGCTGCAGCTGGCAAGGCGAGCTGAGCTTCGTTGTCTGCACAGGAGCATCTCCCACAGTTCCTGGCAGAGGCACACCGCAAAACGGCACAGCCATAGAGGAATAATCAGAGAAGACAGCAGGAGCCACGTTTCCCCTCAAGTCAAAACGGCTGGCAAAAGCAGAGAAAAGGAACTGACATACTCCAAGATGGAGGGGGAGACCCCAGCCAGCGGCGCCCGCTCTGCTCCACGCACCGTGGTCATCTCCACTCACCGTACTTGATCTGCGCGATGTCTCCCACTACGATCTCGGCCACCGGGATCTGAATCACCTGCCCCTTGCGGATGACCGTGAACTTCTGCTCCTGCTCGATGCGGCTCTGGAGGCCCCGGAACTGCTTCTCCTTGCTCCAGTCATTGAAGGCGGTCACCAGCACCACGATGATCACCGAAAACAAGATAGCGGCCCCCTCGATCCAGCCAGCCTGTGACTCCCCCTCGTCCTCCACGCCACCCGTTGACTGGCCGCACACTGCAGTTGGAGGGGCAAAATTCAGCTGCGCCGTGAGACACTCAGTATCTCGAGTGACATGCACAGACCAGAGCCTGGAGAATGCTTGTTCTGACCTCCCCTCCCTGAGCTGGTCCAAGGGCTGGCCCCACTCAAGACAGGGTGGGGTTTTTTGCCCCTGAAGGCACTGGCAGGTTTTGCTCTTTTGGTTTTAGGTGCAGGCTGGCCTAACAGTGCCAGGCTGGGGAGCCAGGACACCTGGGGTCTTTTCCCAGCTCTAGCACCCTCCACCCCTCCCTCCATTACATGACCTTGGTGCAAGTCACCATCTCTCTGCATCTCAGTTTTCCAGATTGCTGCCCCTGCCCAACTCTTTCAAAGACATGGAAACCCGCAGGCCAGGGAAGAGAACAAAACTCACCCAACGCCATGCGGCTACAAAGGTTACTCCCCATTTGGGGGGATACCAAGCGACAAAGTCTTGTCCCTCCATGCTCCAAGCCAACAGGGAAGCCACGGGGGACCCAGGAAGGCACCAGACCAGACTAACCCCCTGGCTTTTGCGCATCCTTTGAGGAGCCACGAGGAGAGGCCCTGAGCAATGCCGCCGCAATGACAGCTCTGCCCAGACGAGGGCATCAGTGCAAGTTCCTTGACATGGCCAGGACCACACCAGGGACAAGCCACCACTTAAAGGATGAGCAGAAACGGCTTGGCTGAAACGAACCGTCAGCACCCGTCTTCCCGCGCTGGCCTGTAAACTCTGCCTGCACGTGCGGTGGAGATACCCCACGGGGTGACCTACAGCGACGCGGGGGGCCCTGGGGACTTACGTTCATTGTCACCGCCCGGCGGGTGATAGAACGACAGGCCCAGGGAGATTATGGCTGCGATTTCCAAGATGATCAGCGTGACGTCCTGAAGCGCCTCCCACACTAACTGCAGGAACGTCTTGGCCTTTTTGGGAGGAATGAAGTTCTGGCCGAACACCTGCCTCCTCTTCTCCAAATCGGTTGGGTTCCCGGACAGGCCTGAGGAGGAGAAAGAGAGGGAGATGAGGGCTGGCTGGTGCATCCCTGCACACCTTCCACTGCCATGCAAGAGGCTCCCGCTCCGGCATCGTGATGCTGTCGTCCCCGCTGGGCTGCGAGAGCCGGAGCTGCCGTCAGGGGCCAGCTGCGGCCACGTGA